TGACACTGAGAAGGCATGGTGGATAGCGGCTCGGATTGATGGTCGGAGAGCCAAGTTCGAATTCCAGTAGAATCCATTACATTCACTTAAGTGCTAATACCCCTGGGAAAGGTACAAATCCTCTTTTTCTCACCCGCCTCAGGCTATGGGTAAATGGCAGGACAGACCGGTTTCTATAACTTTGGATGGCAACTGGACTACCGCAGAAAGAAATGGCAATCTACTGCGGGAAAAAAATCTGCCTCGTCAGTGATGTATCGAAAGATACATTATCGCCGAATCGTGTATTATATATGACACGTAACCGACTGACTGACGTGCTAATACCCCTGGGGAAGGTATGAATCCTCCTCTCCTCCCAGCTATGGGTAAATAGCAGTAAAGACTGGGTTCCATAGCCTTGGATAGCAACTGGTCTACAGAAGAAGGAAATGGCAACCTACTGCGGAGAATAAATCTGCTTCGTCATTCACGTATCGAAAGATACATGATCGCCTAAGCATGTATCACGCATGGCACCTAACCGACTGGCAGACGTGCTAATACCCTTGGGAAGGTATGAATCCTCTTCTTCTTCCCCAGCTATGGCTACATAGCAGGACAGACTCGGTTCTATAGCCTTGGATGGCAACTGGTCTACCGCAGAAAGAAATGGCGACCTACTGCAGGAAAAAACTGCCTCATCAATCATGTATCCAAAGATACATGATCGCTAAAGTGTGTATCACGCATGGCACATAACTGACTGATTGGGAAGTGAGTCAGGCACTGAGCTTTTCAATGCCTGTTCGCTTTTGTGATTAAAAATAGAAAATCGTGAACAACAGGGGATGTATCTTCACCGTTCAAGGGAATGTGATAAAAAATTAGTTTCCTACCATGTTCTATCAAATAAACGAATTTCTGAAAATAGTTTATTTCGTGTCTTAACCCCCACAAAGAAACTTGGGTAATTCTCGGTCTGCCGTATTATTTACGGGTGTTTGGTTTCAGGATATCTACCAACCGTCCCACGCGGTCAGATGTGGCACAAGGCCGGATTTA